AAAAAAAAAAAAAAACATTGATAAGTAGTAATATTTTATTTTCTTTTACTTTACTGAGAACACAAAGTCAAAATATTTTAATAAAAATATAGATACTTGTAGGGGTTAGATTAAGTTACAAATGCGTTAACAGGAAAAGTTTTGGAAATTCTTTAAATTTCACAAATTTTAATTTGTAAAACAAACAAAGCTAGTTAAAAGTTTTTTGATTTTTGTTTTTTAACTGTTCTAGGAAATCACGAAATTGTTAAAATTAAAAAATAGATATTTCTCTTTCTGTGATACGTAAAATATTAATATTATCACAAATAGAAAAGACATGAACTTATTCCGATGTATACTGAATGAATGCAAAATTTTTGATAAATTTTGTAATTGAAAATTGTGTGTGTGTGAATCAGATAATTTTATTAAAAACAATTTATTCATTTTACTAAATAATCTCCAGTAGTTTCTAGTATCTTTTGTTGTTATACTTGATGGAATGAATAAATCGTTTTTTTAATAAAATTATTTAGTCTAATTTTCTATCATAAAGTTCATCAAACCTTTTGCATCCACCCAAAATTTTAGCAGATTGAAAACAAAAAAAAAAGTATATGCAATATTAATGAACGAGACAAAATTTGAATCAAACTTGAAATTTAACTGAAGAAACTATAAATTGAAAATTATAAATTTTCGATAACTGATTCTGTGTCCTCGTAAAAGTTTCAAAATATAAAACAAATGTGCAAAATTGTCGCGATTATGCAAAGTATGTAAAATCTCTTAATATAACACTTATAACAATTAATTAGATTAAATTTATTCGGTATGAGATAATCAAGGCCGTCGAAGCTGACAATAGACAATATTGCGATATCAAGCTGACCTTATCAAACATATACTTCCTCTGTGTTTAACGCTATATACGACTATTCACTATAATCTGCTCTTTTCAATCATATCGATATCTACGTAAACATGTCGTAACAAACTTTTTATACATTAAAATATCGTTTTCCTGAACGTTAGTTGAAGATCGAAGCATTATTTTTACTTCTCTCTCGTCCTCTTCCGTTTCTCTTTGTTTCTGTGTGCGTGAAGTCGTTTTGTTAAAAGCACATCAGCATGTATGAATTTCATTTAACTTCAACCATCGTTCACAGAAAACGATATGTAGAAATATAAGTACGTGTACGAGCTATCTCGCAATAAAGCAGCTCTATAGAAGTATTTGTTAGAAATCGCGATAGAAGTCATCAGTTAGCCCTTGATCAAACATCGCGTGCAAACGAACGTGACTCCGCGTTTGGTATGTTCTAGCCGGTATCAAGAGCCAGCTGTTAGCTTGTAATCGAACTTTTAAGAAAGAAAAAAAAAAGCTAATCTGCGCATTTTATATCTAATATTGTTACGGAACTACCGCGACGAGTAGCGACTTAAGCCTATTTAATAGATAAGCTCTCTTAAAAAATAAATGTAATCACGGTATAAAACTACAATTTTTTAAATCTATTATATCTCTTGTCATCGAAATAGCGGACGTACACTCTGTTCTCTTTTGTTCTTCCCGGCCTGATTCAACGTCTGGTTCGCATATTGTCACTCTTCCGTTTTGATTATATGTAATGCGATCTCGGTTTTCTATCAAGAATCAATAAAAACAATAGAGATGTATATCCGAGAAATTCCGACTTCAATCTTATTCTTTCACGCAGAACTTGTAAAAAAACACCTCTCTCGGCACAAACTTGATTGAAAAACATCTGTTAAAGGACTGAGTGTTCCGGGATGCGTGATAAATGAAAACGTAAACAGCGTGTTCTCTTACATCTTTAAAATGTGCACAATTGATATGTTAGGAACAGAAAAACGGCACACAAACGCGTCTTTGACGTTCGATCGACTAAAATTAACATTGAAAACGTTATAAAAATCTGAAGATTCAAACGATCTCGCGTATATAAATTCTCGCATTGTATCCAGGTACGCATTTGAAATGACATAAATGATTTCTTGTTAAAATACGCAAGAACATTTTGCAAAGCCGCGGCGCAATCGAACCTTTTCTCCTTTCTTCGACCATACGTTTTTATAGGAACATCCAACTGTATGATTATAGCGCGTATTTAGGCGCGATTATCGCACACGTGTCTCTTCTTTTGTGCGCTTCGGGGGCCTTCCACACTTTCTCTTTATTGCAGTATTTACAACTTGCTTGACGGTCGACTTCCGTTTGGCGGTTTTGCGCGTATTGCTCGTTTCGTAGACTGTTCTCGTCACGTCGTCGATCACGCGCAATTCTACTTCGGCATTTCTCCTCGAACCTCGTCTGGTACGCGTGGCTATTTGCTCCATCTCGTCAAACTGCGCCTGCAAGCGGCGCGCCAGCTCGTAATCTTTTTGCTCCTGCAGTAACAATCGCTCGATCCGTTGTTGCTGCTTAATCACTTCTTCATCCGAGCAAACTTTATCGGCATCGTGATTATTCTCCGAGACACACAATTCCGTTTCGTCGCAAGATTCCGGCGGTGAATCATAGTTGAGCTTGCTGTTGTGCGTGTTATTTAATTTGCTGTCACTTGCTTGGGAAGAATTTTTTGTCAAGTTTCGCGTAGATTTCCTCCAACCGGACGCAGCGAGTTTGTTGTTCACACTCGTTGGAAGTTGATTCTCTTCCGGCTCCTTTTTATTATTAAAAGTCCTGTTTACCTTTCGTTGCTTTGTTCTTTGTGAATTTGCCTCAGACTTGTCCGTCTGTTGAGATGACGAACACAAAATTTGATCCGCTGCAGAACTTTCGTCTGATTCTTCGGGTGATGCTCTCTTTTTTGTTATTGTTTTGCCTTTTTTGGACGTATTGGATTTTGACATCATTGTTTTGTTTTCTTTTTTTCTTTTTACCTGCTCTTCTATATTTTCAGTCACAACCACGTTGTTGCTAGCCTGTTTGTCGTTTTGCAGACTTGATTTATCACACGCCAAATTCAGATCCGTTTGATTGTCATCCTCTTCATCTGTCGTTATCAAAACGAGTTCACTCTCTTTTCTATTGCTTCGAAGATTTCTGTGTTTCTTGAGTTTCGTTATTGCATTGCTCCGTACACGAGTTTCTCGCCATGATTTACGAGGTTTTCTTGCCGACTCATCGTCCGACACTTTTTTGCCGATTTTAGTACCGTTAATTATTTTGTTTGTAGTCTTTGTATAATTCTTGTTACTGTCAAATGACGACTCTGGCATAAAGTCGAGTCGGCAGATAGCATCGTTTGTCTGAGGTTTTATCTCCAATTTATTCGACATTATTAGAGAGCAGTCGAGCGTCGATGTCGATGGTTTTTGATCGATTGCTAATTCCATATCTTCTGAATTGTACGCAGCTTGTTTTCTCTTCGCGTCCTGTTTTATTCTGCCTATATAAAAGCATTTACAGTTAAATTGAAAACCATTGAAAACATTAAATATCTTTGATATCAAGTTTTACATTTTGCAACTTACCTTTGAAAGCACTCCAGGAACATCCAATGATGCGTTTTGCGCGCGTTGGCGAAGGAGGTTTTGGCACTGCGTTAGGTATTTTCTTTAAAATAGGAATCGTCCTAATCAGTTTTGGATTTATCGGTTTTCCATCTGAGGGAAAATATACAAATGTAAGAGAATTACACCTCTTGTAAGACACAAGACTTTCTTATAAGAAATATATACCGGAAGAAATTTTCAATTCTGTCCGTGGTACTGTCTTGATAGGTTTAAAATGATGAATCTCTTGATTAATACTATCATGACTGCCGGAGCTTTCGGCGCTTCCAATTCTCTCGTCATCGTCGGCCACCGTCATGCAAACCTCTACACCTAAACTCTTTTTTTTATTGTTTACCACGTCACTCGGTATGCGCAATTCTTCTTTAGTTTCCGTAGCGTAATTGCCGGATGTGGAACATCCAGGATCACCAGGATAATTTGAAGTGCAGGTTTGAGGAAACTTGGAAGTATGATGTTTCAACTTTTTTGTAATGGCGTTGTAAATGGGCATTCGTTTTTGGCAATACTGATCCTTATGGACACTTGCCGCGTTTATCTCGTTGGATCTGTGCACATCAGAATGAATTGTTTCACTCTCTAACAATACCATATTTGTCTGTCTCAGCTTTGAGCTAGGAAGACTTATCTGCCTGCCTGCCGACTGTGCACTTTCAGCTAGTGAGGCTTCGACATTATTTACAAGCGTGGTCTTGAATTTGGGTGCATCTAAAACATAACGTGATACTGATGCACTCAAACAGTTATTGTAACATTTTGTTTCCTTTTGTTTCTCTGCTACTTGTTGCTTTGCCATAGTCTTGGCTAGCAATTGATCCTGTGCCAACTGAGCCAGCAATATCTGCTGCTCTTCTGCCTGAATCTTCTGAATCAAGGCTTCGCTGGCCATTTGTTCAGCTTCTCTTCTACGTCGTATTTCTTCTTCAGCCATTTGAAGTTGAGCTTCATATTCTTTACGTATCTCTCCAGGAGCACTAAGTTTTCTATTAGTTGTATACTCTGTTAAGAAACAACATACTCTATTACATGTGTTGTACAAAAATTTAAATTCTTATACAATAAATTAATTAACAAATGTTATTTCGCATATATTTATAGAAAATTAATTACTCTAGAATACAAAGAACTCTAATACTAATAAGTATTGAACTCACAGAAAGAAAAACAGTACGTAAAAGGTATAAGAAAAATAATACAACATCAAGATCACATAAGTGTTTCACATCTAGCTTGAGTTTTAGGTATTTTATTCAACTTAAAAAAAAAGCACAAAACATCTTACAGGATAAATCACATCCACCCCTGCACAGTGATAGGTTATGTTGTGTTTATATCACTGCTGTGTACGTGCTTGTGTGAGTGTGTCACTCACCGACGTCCAAATCGAGATCCCTCTCTTCGCCATTGTGCTTGCTCTCGACCTCCTTCGGGAACTTGGTCCGAATGAGCTCCCACAGGCCATGGTTTACCAGGGTCTCGGACTTGGTAGCGTTTCGTAGCCACGAGCCCACTCGGACCCGGCACAACGGACAAGCCAGACTATTGTGCTCGAACGTACCCTTGAGGCAACGCAGACAGAGGTTATGTGTGCACGGCAGCGTCACTGGTTCAATGAGAATGCCACGGCAAACCGGACACAGAAAGTCACGTATGTGCACATCTGCGGTAGCCCGCGACACCGACAGATCCAGGAATTTCGACGTGCGTTTCAGATACATTTTTCCATAACTTCACAATTATGTATGTACAAAACTACGATCACACACTACTACGCCACCCCTACCATCATTGCGGAACTTCATCAGAATGCTTGGCTATGGGCGTTATATTTTACGTGTTTCCCCACCAACTGTGTTTCCGTCCGCGAGCGCTTTAACGTGCAGTACGGATTTGTGACATACACTACGAAGTCGCGTTCACGAGCAAGTTCAGTAGATAACATGATGTATCCACGATTTATTTGGTTCTGTTCTAAGTTATGTAGTATCAGAGAGAAGCCTGAGAGCGGCCAGGTCCATAAGAGAATGTGTAATCACTTTTCCTCCCCGTAAACTACCGCACGTCCACGGGTGGTACACATTGGAACTACGCAGCCAGTCCACGAGCGACATGTCGGTGCGCTATGTCCACAGCGTGCGGTTCTATTCTGTGCACGAGTTTAAATGGTCACTTTCTTTAAGTGTGTGGATATATTCGAGAGCGTGAATTTGATTTTTTTTTGAAATTTAAAATGAGACCGATCTCGTGATGAGAAGATGAGAAAGGAAAACAGAAAAGAATAAGAAAAACCATTGCAACTTTTCGTACAACATAAATGTAATATACAAGAAAAGATATGATAATCAAGAAAAGAATCTTATTTTAGCGAACAACATCAGAATTCGTGGAGTGTAGTCAAATATCATCTCCTTTTACATCATTTTACATTTTATAGATTTGTATCTGTTGAATTAGCGAGCGATGATATCTCTCGACTGTGTCAAATTTTCTCATGCTGCGGAATCTACGCTTTGCGACGGTTAATTGGATTCCGCAAGACCAGTTGGCTTCAATGGCTTTGTCGCGATTCAAATCGCAACAACAACAGTTATAAGCCCGGATTGTTTCTCTTCAGACACTCACAGCGAGCGACAACACGGGAAACATCTTGTGTCGCCTCTCTCTCAATCCTTTGCCGACACCAGGTGTAGAAATCCTCGACGACATCATCTTACAAACCATCTCGAGAGGGTCCTAACCGAGGCAAGGAAAACTACTTAGCGCGGCACTGTCGTCGTCTTTGCTTGTTTTTCCAAAGAAGAAGCCACAAGGCTCGTTTTCAAAGAGCGCGAGTAATTTGATTCCAAAGGAAAAATCGGGGTGGGATTTAAATTCACAGCGCGCGAATGAGCGCTTTGTATCATCTTCGTTCTTTCTTATACTCGCCAAAATCATATTATCAGCTAGTTTTACATTCGAGATCCGCTATTTTCTTATTCGTTAACAGTAGTCGTTATTATTTCATTATTAATTTTGAATTTGATAAAAGTTGTGATTTTCGAAAGTTTACACACACGCGTTTTCTTATCATTTCTTTCTCTATAATTTTTCCACAATTTCTTTTCGGCAAATTTTCATATTTTTTTTCTTTGCGAAGGAGAGAAGAAATGCTCTAATCACTTTTTGCTAATAATTGCAAATGTCCGTTCTGTTAAAAGCGTTGCGCAATGAATCGCATATGAGACTGGAGGATTTAGTGATCTCGCGATATGAAGTTAACATTGTAATGTCGTTTCGTGACGCGCGCGACGGCGACGGCGACGGCGGCGGCGGGTGGCGAAAGACGCGAAGAGAACAGAGGACACGGAAGGGAAGGGGGGTAGTGCGGGCGGGATTGGGAATTCAAATACCACCGCCATTAAACTGAATAACGAGGAGAGCGGCCGTTCGAAATATGAACATGGCTATGATTTGCGGCCTCGTAAACCCGTTCATAACGAATAATAATGTCACCGCGCGCGGCGGTCGCCCGCCGGTTCCGAGGGCACGGGACAGGGTGGCGAACAGGGGGCCTTTGGTGGTAAGGACGCGGGGCATCAGAGGGGCGTGTTCTCGCTTGAAAATCCACCTACAATATCGCCCAAGACTTTTTTCATGTCTCATAACGCCTTGCCGAGCTGAAATTAAATAATAAAATATACGCGTTGCCGGCGCTAACGTCGTTAACTCCTGCAACCTCCCTCCCCCCCCGCCCCTCCTCTTCTTTTTGCGCGTTAGGCATATTCGTCCCCCCTTTCTTTCTGCGTTTTTCTTTCGAGACCCGCGGCTGTCTCGAAAGAGCCTCGAATTGCTTTTCACCTCGCGGTTTTCATTACGATCCCCGGAGATTTTATTAGATGATACGCGCGGGGATACGATCGTTACGGAGATGTACGACGGTCGTTCGGAGCTCTTGAAAATTTTGCACCGAGAAAAAAAATTAAGTAAACGGGAAATCTTTTCATTCATAAAATGTTTTTTTTTTTTTATCAGCGAAATTTTATAAGAAGCCATAAAGACGTCGGATTTTTGAGAATAATATCGCAGTCGGGGGGGGGGGGGTGAGAAAACTCGAGTGGCGTGTATATAGCGCGCGGTGTGTTTTGTCATTTTATCTTCTCCCCTTGTAGGAATTAACGAACGGCCCAGTATTGGGTCAATATCGGCAAACGAGGCTCGATATTGGTACGACAGTAGTAGCCAGTACTGGGCGAATATGCTTAATGATTAGATCGAGCCAACGCTGGCTCTTAAGCTCGGCACGATACTTACTTCCGAGATT